ATGTGGCACTGGACCAGCATAGTGCCCTGACGTGGAAAAGAGGCTGGTACATTTGAGGCCTTGATAAAGCAAAGCAGGTGAAGAGATCGGGGTGTTACCTCTCTACTGGAGTGCTCTCCCTCTAAATACACAGGTCTCTACAAGCCTCAGATGGGTTCTCATCAAGCCCCAAAGAGGTCCACTCTGGCACCTTCCGATTCCCCTTAAGCCTTTGTGTCAGCACCTCTTTCACTGTCCAAGTATACTGGATCTGACTCTGCAAGCCCAGTTATTCTCTTCCCCCTGGAGCCGCGGAGTTGGTCTTTTCCTCCTGAGCGCCCCAATTGCTGTGCCGCAGCGCCCTCTGCTGGCACATCTTGGCAAGATACCCACAGCAGGTGTTGCCATGGCCCAGAATTTCAGACTTCTTGGACACTGCCTAAGAGGAGACCCATCTCTACCTTCCAAAAGACAGGGGGAAATTGAAGTGTGGACCTGTGCCCAGTGAGTCAGCAGCAGCACCAGAAACAGCCCAGGCAGCTCAGCTTCCCAGCAGCTGCTCTGCCCCCTCACTTCACCGCCACTCGTCTCTGTTTATTGACTGGGAGTGTCAAATTGAGCAGGTTTTCGAGCAAATACAGTCTGAACATTGCCTGAATAGACTTTCTCAAAGAAGTTCCAATAAAGGAAGGAATCCTGCCCCAGAAGAGAGGCTCAAGTAGCACCTTGAAGGTCACCATATGCCCTTTTCCAACCCATGGGACTCGGGGAAGGGACCTCAGCCCTCCCACTACCTGAGGCCAGCACAGGAGTTGATGCCACAGGTACAAATGCGCAGAGAAGAGGAACGTGCATGTGTTCCCACTTCATTCATTTATTGGCACTCAGTCGTCAGTACTTACTGGTCATCTGCTCTGTGACAGAGGCCGAGAACGTCGTGGCCACTGAGAAGTCGGACCGGGCCTGGCCTGCCGGGCCTCCTGGGCATCCCGTAAGGACTGACCCACATGGTGAGGGTTGGAAGGGGGAGCAGGGATGCCTCACGAGGGGCAATGAGGTCTTGACCTCAGCCGAGGGGTCTGGAGAGTCCTCTGGGCAAAGGATGTTTCAGCTTAGGCTGAGATAGCAGCTGGCCTTGGGAAAGGCAAGCAGAGAGCTGTGGGCCTCCCTCCAGCGACGTGCCTCCGGGACAGATGCGTGGCACACATTTGGGAATGGAGCTCCGTGGTTCATTCTGGAAAGGAGCCCGCTCCTGCTCAGCTCCAGCTCATTAACAGTACAAGTGGTAGCTTTCTGGGCCCAGGAGGCCATCCTGGGGCTGCCAGGGCCACTGCCTGCCAACTCAGGGCCTTCCCGATTGGTCCCGTGCTGACACAGGACCGAGGCAATGACAGTCTGCCTGGCACCCATTGGGTGGTCCTCCAACAGAGTGGGGCCTTGGGGAACTGGCGGGCTTTCCACCTATGGACTTGCTCCAACAGTGGACTCACAAAAAGGCCACTCTTTGGAGACCTTTCATTTCTCATCACTGTCCCAGCACATATCCCGAGCATGACAGGGCACAGCCTGGGGACTGGTGCTGAGGAGGCTCCCACGACTCCTCGGCAGGCCTCTCGACCTTTTTAGGATCATACCTCAGGGGTCAGACTCCCTCTTGCTTTGGAAGGAGGAGGCCTGGCTGGCCACCACTGCGTGATGGCCTGGATGATGTGACATGGATGTGCCAGTGGGAGAAGAGCAGGCCCAGCAGAGGCCCCTTCCTCCAGACCATCCCCCTTACCACTCTGCAATCCCGAGTGCCAATGTGGGTCCTGCTGGAGACTAGCAGGACACCGGAGGACATCAAGCTGTCTTCCTTCTCAGAGGGAGGCCAGGGGGCTTCTACTGGACCCCGAGCCCCTCCCCGTTGCCAGGCCATATGCCCCTGTGAGCATGGACCTCCAGCTGGGGCCTGCCTGGATGCAGGGCCTGCCTTCTACTGAGAGCAAGTTTGAGGGAGAGAGGACCACCTTCTTCTGGGGTGGCCCAGGGTGGACAGCGTAGGCTGAGCCTGGACCAGGAGGGAGCTGGGCCCCTGGAGAGCTATACCTGAAGGTTAGACATGACCCTGAACCGCCAGGTACTCGCTGTGGGCTCAGGGTGCCAAGTGGAACATGGCTGGGATGGCAGTAAGCATCACTGCCCAAGGCTGGGACAGGGAGGAGACAGCCCACGGCTGACTGGGATCAGCACCATCTGCACAGGCCCAGGGAGAAGCAAACACCCCAACCAGTGCCATTTCAGGAGGGGGGTGAGGGTGAGAGGTGTGTGGGGAGACGTCAGAGGCAACAAGTGCCAGCTCTAGGTTGTCCCTAGGATGCCTTCACATCCTCACAGCCATGGGTCTGATACTTCCTGACTGATAGGATCTCATTTAACCTCATGGTGCCTTCATTGCCTCATGGCTATTTTCCAGGTGAACATAATCAGGCTTCTACCAGAGAAACAACCAGTAGGAGACAGAGGCACACCTTGTCTTATTGCACTTCACTTTGTTGCTCTTCACAGGTGTTGTGTTTTTTACAAACTGAAGGCACTACCCTCCACCCGCACGAAGATTACGACTTACTTTATTGCTGTGGTCTGGAACCAAACTTGCAATATCTCCAAGGTGTGTGTGTTGGGGCGTGGGTGGGTGGGTGTGTAACACAATTGTGGGGTCTGGCTGGGTAAGTCTGAAATAACTGGAGGGCAGGTTGGCAGTCTGGAAACTAGCAGGCAGGAGCTGACACTACATTACACAGGGGCAATTTCTTCTTCCTCTGTGTAATCTCCATTTTGCTGTTAAGGCTCTTCAACTAATTGGACGAGGCCTGCCCACATTATCAAGGATAAGCTCCCTTACTTAAAGGCAACTGGTTATAGATGTTAACCACATCTACAAAAGACCTTCACAGCAACACCTAGATTAGTGTTTGATTGAATCACCAGAGACTGTCGCCCAGCCAAACTGACATGTAAAACTGACCATCTGGAGGGGGCGGGGGGCCTGGTGCTTGCTCATAGCTGCTGTGAAGAGGAAGTGGGACCATGTGTAAAGAAAGCCCTCTGCACAGACTGAAGACATCCTCAGGGCCAGGCAGCTCCAGTGCCTATTTGTTTGTCTGGAGTGTGCAGGTAGAGAGGTAGGGGTGTGCGTTTGGGGATGGCAGGAAGTGTTTCAGCTAAGGAGGCAAATGGGGTTTGGGGCCTGCTTGTCTGCAGAGGGTAGGGACTGGCCCAGAGGAGGAGCTGGGAGGGGAAGGGGTAGTCTGCGTGGTCCTGGGAGCTGCAAGGCAGGCACTTCCAGAGGCACAGTGTGCTGTCTGGCCACCGGGACTTCATGCCCAGGCAGCTCTCAGAGGAAATTTCCAGCCTAGCCTCACCCCTCCTGAAGGCCTGGCCAGAAGCAGGCTGCGAGTTTTCAGGGCTCTGGAAATTCCCACCTGGCCAGTGTGCCCTCAGCACAGGCTGCTGCAGACCTTCAACTCTGGGTGTGGTCCCCTCTGGACGCTCCACTGTGACAGCCAGCTAGCTCTTTGGGAAAAAGCTCAAATCTGTCCTCACACAGCTAAGCCCACAGCTCAGGTGTGACAACTTTTACCTCCTAATTTGGGCCAGTTTTCTAAGAGATTCAAACGATGTCACACACACACACACACACACACACACACACACACACACTACACACTAAACATACAGGCGTTTTTCTCACTAGGGATGGGGATAATGGTAACATCCAACTCACAGGATTGCTGTGAAGTACAGTGAGTGGGGCGTGATTTAAGGGCTTATGAAATGTTGGATGTTATTAATAGCTAATATTTACTTAGAGCTGACTTGGAGCCTACCCCTGGATCGGGTGCTTTTCGCACATTATTTCAGTGATTCGTGAATAGATAGTGTCCTAAAAACTTGTGGGCTATGGGGAGGTGTGGGGAGTAGGGATGGGGGGCTAGGGGGAGTGCCCCTAACCTCTAAAACTGGCATGGAAAATTGCGTGTCCTGTATATTTTATATCGAAACTGTCCATGGCTTTCAACCAGCTCCCCAGATAATGAAGAACTGGTTTAGTTGATAGTTGGACATTCAGTTAAAATTATTTCACCGTTGTTTTAGCTTAAAAGAGGATGTGTCTTCATAGGTAAATAATCTACTTCCTGACCTTGGATAAAGCACCCCACCCTCCCTCTTGTAATTAACTGCAAAAATGTCCCTGAAATCATTTCCAGTGTCAGAAACGATGTGAACAGTTACAGGCGTGATTGGGCACTTTGCCTCACAGCGCCGAGGCTTTGCAGTTGGCAAGGGAGAAGGCGGCGGGAGAAGGGAGGGCTCAGGGAATACCCGCGGTGACCCTGGCCTCTCCCGGGTGTGCGGTGGCGCGGGGCGCACCCTCGCCCCGCCTGCCTGCTTCGCCTTTAAGGTCCGCTGGGGGCGTGCTGTCAGCTGCCGGCGGGCCAGGGTGCGGGGGGGAGGTGAGGGCCGCCGCACGCGCGGCAGGGGACTTGATACTGGGCTTGGTGACTGACCTGCGTGCGCTCGGAGTCTCGGACTGTCCTCCCTGGCGCGCCCCTGCTGCGGGCCATGCCCCGCACACGCTAAATGGGCACTGACCTGGCTCCGGGCGGGCGCAGCCCCGCGGCCCCGGCCATGGGCAGCTTCCAGCTGGAAGACTTTGTGGCGGGCTGGATTGGAGGTGAGCCCACCCAAGATGGGAGGGACCCCCCCAGAGGTGGGTGTGCTTTCGGGAGACCCCAGTGCTGGAGTGTCTGGGAGAGAGAGGCGGGCCGGCGCTGCGCTGACAGAGTTTACACCCCCGGCTCCCGGCAGAGAGCTCTGCGCCCACGCTTCACGCCCGCGCCGCGCGCGCTGCCTGTTGCCGGGAGAGCCCGGCGCCTGCGGGTCTTGCGGTTGTCCTCGTAAACTCTGCGAGCCTCACAGAGGTTCACCTGAGCTGCCGATTTGCCTCCAAGTTAGGATCCGCGGATCTTGATCCGGTAATGATTAAGCCACGCGTCCAAGCGGACAGCCAATGGAGCGCCCAGGCGCGTACACACCCTTCGGTGACCGGGTGCGCACCTGAATCTGGGGACGTGTCTTGCAGGAACTTGTGGGTGAGGGTGGTGCTTGTCCACTGGTCCCGGGCGCGGGATGGGGAGCTCGACTTCGTGATCTGGCTGGTTCTAGGGGGCGCCCCGGTTGGAGGAAGCGGATAGGAGGAACCCTTACCGCTTTCAGCTGCTGTCAACGGTCAGGCCCCTCCTCCAGGCACTGCGGTCCCCTGTACTGCGCCGGGAGCCCTGTCTGCTGGGCCTGGGATGGGCTTGCTTGGTCAGGAGTTTCATCCATTTCCTTGTTCCTCCATTCTCTTCCCAATAGGTCTATCACTCCTTTTCTTGCAGCTATAAGTGGGGGGAACAGGGGGAGGGTTTGAGGGACTTTACTTATTGTAAAATATTATCTTTCTTTTGGCCCCATCTAAGAGGACCATCAGAAAAGGGATGTTGGCAAATGCAACCACTGTCCAAGACAAAATAAAACGTTGAGGTGCCCGAAGCCAAGACTATAGCATGTTTGTGCCCCACCTAGCGTTCTAGGTATGGAGGAGACCAGGAAATGTGTAGGAAAAGGAAAAAACAAACAAAAGGATCCACAAGCCAGATAGCATCCCAGGTTCTTCTCCTCTGGCGCTCCCCTCCCACCTAGCAGGAGTCCACATCTGTCCCCCAACAGGTGGCTGCAGGGTGCCTGCTTCTCACCATCCTGAGCAGAGGTGGTTCCTTTCATGGTGGGCAGCTCTGTTGGCACAGGCTCTCCTGGGCTGGGCTGAGACCTGCCTCTCCTAATTTTCCCAGTCAGGGGCTGTGCCTGGAGGCCCACTGGGCATATCCAGGCCCTCTCTGGACAACCCTTCAGCCATTCCAAGGGAGAGCCTTCCCTTGGCTGTTTCCTTAAGTAGCCACACCAACTTCAGTAGGGCTGCCAGTGGCATGGTTTAACACCCTGGAGAGTAAGGCTGTTGGATGAGCTCAAAATCTCTGCTGACACTGAGACCCTCCCCAATTCCCACAGCAAGTAGTGGATTGTCCTTTATTCTGTGATTGTCTTTACTTTGTGGATGCTAATATGTCTTTTTCTTTTCTGTTTCCATGAAATGATGATGAGTGAGGTAACAGTGAATACTTAGTAGGTACCAGGTGCCACTGAAGTGCTCTAAGTATAGTTTTAAAACAACTTTATTAAGGTTATTTTACATATCATAAAATTCACCCATTTCAAGTGTACAATTCAATGATTTTTAGTAACCGTACCAAGTGGTGCAACCATTACCATAAATTCATTTTGGAACATTTTCATCCCCTAGGAAGATCCCTCATGCCCATCTACAGTTCAACCCTATCTTCTCTTTCTCCCTCTGGGCAACCACTAATCTACTTTCTGCCTCTATAAATTAGCCTTTTCTGGGCATTTTATATAAACGAAATCATAAAATAGGTGGTTTCTTGTGTCTGTTTATGTATATTTTTTTGTAACCGCAATAAGGTAGCTACTATTATTCCATTCCCATTTTAGAGATGAGGAAATGGGTACACAGAGAAATTCAGTGACTTGCCCAAGGCCATGCATCTAGCATGAGCCCTGGGATTCTCACCCAGGCAATCTGCTACCACGGCCATTTTAACTCTTGTACTCATCTACAGCTGCTTTCTTTCTTACTGACCTTGCGTGATAAAATTTCACCATTACATCGTTCACATTTTGTTGGAAATTTTACTGGTCTGTGTGGTCCCAATGTCTGGAAACCACTTTCCTGATATTCTGATTTCTGATCTTGTACCCCCTGCTTTCAGATGGGTGGGCTAACGAGTGAGCAGGAAAACACTGGCCCAAGGCTGGACTGGGGTGCTGTTCTGGGTGGAGGGATGCCCCTAGGGAAGGATGCACTCACTAGGGAGGGGGCAGCGGGAGCCCCGAGGACCAGATTCCTTCCTTCCCCTGCTGGGAGGGGTTCCTGTGGAGGGAATGGTCCAGTGCCTACTGCCCATCACCTTTCTGCCTCTGCCTAGTTGTGTGGGAAGAAGGGGCTGAGAGGGGTCTGGAGGTTCCAGACCAAGGAAACATTTGCTCTGGGATTAGCTGGTTTCTCGGCCACTGGTAATATCTAATATTTTAGGACCCTTTCCATGCAAGCACAGACCCTTCCACATCAGGTGATGGGGAATTGGCCTTAAAAGAATGACTCCTGTTTCAATCTCACAGTCACTGACTTCTGCAACTAGTGCTTCTTAGTCTGCGTGGACTCAGGGTAGCCTTGCTTCCCTCCAGAATGGTTCAGGCCTTGTGCGTGCGTGTGAGGATGGGCATTTTTCTGTGAAAAGGTCCAGAGTATCCCTTTTCAAAGAGGCCTTCTTTAAAAGAAAAAAAAATCAATAGCATCTCTTTTTTAATGTCCTATAAGTGCCTAGCTCTCTGCTAATACTTTACATTCATTACCTTACTTCATTCATTCTTACAATGGAACCGTGAGGTATTATTCCCACCTAGACACGCTAAATGTGAGGGGTAGGAAAGTTAAGTAACCTGTAACCTGCGGGTAACTGAAAAGTTTCTGGGTTTTCTCTTCATATAACGTGAAATTAACCATTTTAAAGAGTACAGTTCAGTGGCGTGTAGGACGTTCACAGTGTTGTGCAATTATCGCCTCTACCTAGTTCCAAATCATTTTCCTCATGCCCAGAGAAGTCCCCAGACCCATTAAGCAGTCGCTTCCATTCTCCCCTCCCCCAAGCCCTGGCAACCCCTCATCTGCTTTGTCTCTGGACTTACCTATCCTGGGTAATTCATACAAATGGAATCATATAATATGTGTCTGGCCTTTTTGTCTGGCCTCTTTCATTTACATAATGTTTTCAACATTCGTCCACACTGAGGCCTGAGTCTGTACTTCATTCCTCTTTTTCTAATCATGTTCCATGGTATGGTATACCACGTTTTCTTTATCCATTCACCCAGTGATGGGCAGTTAGGCTGTTTCCACCTTTTGGCCATTGTGGGTAGTGCTGCTATGAACGTGTGTGTACATGTACTTGTCTGAGTGCCTGTTTCCATTTCTTTTGGG